CTATATATTAGTTTTCCAAATAAACCTTCAATCATGTATTCATGTTATTATTTGGACCCATATATAATTAATTATTAGAGGAGGATTTACTTGCCAAATCAATAGGAAGAACACGAAAAACTATTAATCCCACCGAACCCAAAGGTAGATATGACTCTTTTTCGTTGCAAATAATAGATCTAGATATTTTGACATTTGAATCACTATGTCATTTAGACTTTTTAATAAATGTATAGGTCGATAGCCTCTTATATATTTGTTAGTAAATTTTATTTAGATATTTAAATTATGATATATTTTAATCGAGTATTTGAATATATAAAATTGTTCCTATTAGATATTTCTGGCTCAAAATATTTTAAAAAAATTACACGTGTTTTTGAATATATAAGTTAACTACGTAAAATATATCACATCTTTTTACTTATACGCGTTAACCTTCATGAGGTTGTAGTCGTAAAACTTCATGCATGTTCCATTACAAGTTTACAACTACAATCACCATTATCATTGTCAACCATCATTCATCACCACCAACCATCTCTATCATCACAATCACAATTACTGTCAGTCACTAGCAAACATATCACTTCCACCATTGTTATTCTATTAACTTCACTACTATCGTCATCACCTTCGCTATCACTATCAACCATTACCATTACTACGACAAATCTCTACTACCAACCACATCCAATTACCACTAACACATCGTCAACCACCACATGTTCTTCATCCATCACCATCATCGCCACCAACGGTTAACATCAATCAACTCTATTATTACAACCTCCATCATCACTATCAATCACTAATCACCACTAACACATCGTCAAACACCATGTATTCTTCAACCTTCACCATCGTTACCCTCAACTGATAACATCAATCAACTCCACTATCACAATCTTCACCATCACTACCAACCATCATTATCGTGTTAGTCATTACAACACCAACTGTTGACACCCAATTTTGGACCTCCACAATATAAATTAATCATCGAGCTTCCTAAATTCTAAATGATTTGAAATAATTGGCTTTATAAAATTCAAAATAATTTTCAAGTCATTTTAAAGTAGTTTTGTCATTTTAATAAATTTAAAATAATAAATGTGATATTTATATAATTATGTGTCTAATTAGTATATTTTATGAATGTTCGAAATTTGTCTCAAAAGGATTTTACTTTTATTTAAATATTTGGTTATTTAGTCGTTTATATTGTTAAATTATTTAGTTTATAATTAAGTTAATTATTTTATTTCATTAAGATTAAGGAGCTCACTAATTAATTTTATTGATTTGTCTTATTTAGTTTTTAGCCGAATTACCAACTAAATTCATTTCGGTTAAAATGTTATTTCAATTCGGTTACGTTTGAAATTCGTACTTGATTGCAAGACCAAGAGGCTGGGCTATTTATTTTCCTCATATTGGCAGCCCCATTCCCCTTAATTCTTCAACAATGATCAGTCCAACACCTCAACAACAATCCAATTCACAGCCCAAATCAACCCCCCAACCGACCCAACCAATTAATCCCAATTAATTCCGGTCCACACAACAGTAAAACTGACCCAGTCCAGCTCCTATAACCCGACCCAACACCACTAACCCAATACACATACAATACAACAACTTTACTAGCCGACCCCATCCCCTTTCCCTTCCAATTCCAACACTACAATACAATAAACAACAGCCATACAGTACCAAAACAGCCCCCTGCCAGCGTCTTCCTCTTCCCCAGACGCAAACCCAAAAACGTCAAAGCAACAACAATCCGAAATGTCAACAAATAGCAGCTCCCACAACTTTCTCTGCAACAACCGCCCACCCTGCTCCTCGTCCGGATTTTCTGGGATTTTGGACGAAATCTCATACCAAACCCAACTGCTCCCTGGAAAAGGATTTTTGAATTTTGAAACCAAGGGAGAATTCCGTTTTGACCCTTGTTCCTATCCGTTTTTCACCCTAATTTCCCCCTATAAATACATCTCTCTTCCATTGGAGGTGGGGATTGGAGGAAAAAAAATTTAAGGCAAAGAGAGCAGCTTAAATGAAATAGCTAAATTACATACAAAAATGTACTACAAAAAGTCAGAAGAAGCAATCGATTTTGGTGTTCGAGTTCAATATTTTGCTCGGATTTCTTGACCGTTGCTCGAGTCGGAATCTCATTGTGGTCGTGGGAAGCTACCTTTCTGCTCGTTTCCCCTGTTTCGCTGCACAACAAGAGGTAATCTCTACTTTCATCTATATTCCATTGGTTTGTTTCTTCGATCAGGCTCTTGTTTCTTTTGGGATTGGTTTTCTTAATCGTTTACTCACTGTGTTGCTTAGTTTCGATCAACTTAGTTACTCTTTAAGGCTGATAGCTCATTTGTTCTTTGTAACTGTGTTCTCTTAATGTTGGTTATCCGTATAGAAATGTGATAAATAAGAGAGGTTACGGTTTTTGATAGTCTGCTGTTGTTTTCTCTCTGTTATTGTTAATCTTGGTCACTGATACTTGGTTTGCTTGACAAATGTGTCTAATTTCTTTCCTTCTTTAATCAAAATATTGCTCTTGTCTTGTTCCATTTTTAAGGACTTGTTTAAATAAAAACACGTCGCTATTCTTAGTCCCTGCATCTTAGGAAGGTTCATTCGATTATAACTAGTGTTGTTCTCGGAATATCTTTAAAGCATTTAAATAATTAAATGGTCTGTCGTTCTTAATTTTGTAAGGTTCGTTTTGCTTCTGTCCGAAGTAATCTATTGTGATTTGGTATGTCTTGAAAGAGGCGACATGTTTCATCTTCTTCTAACCGCTAATTTGGTTTTGGGTTTATAAGATGAAACCATTTTTTATAAGCACGACTCATTGATAGATTTCCTTAGTGTCGCATTTAAGTATGATAGCCTACATCCCCATTCTTTGAATTCACAGTAGTTCCAACTTGTCTTCTTTATCAATGAGTCAATATTTGTCTGGGGCATGATTTGTATGTTTTGTTTATAATTGTTTAGTTTAGCAGCTTAACAAAAAAAAAAAAATGTTAAAACATAGTTGGCAAATTGTTTAATCATAGTGGGTTAGATTTTGATTTATATGGATTCTAAAAGATTGCCAAATTTTGTTATATGGAAGTATGCGGGATTTATACATATATGCAATAATAATAATAATAATATATATATTTATTGTTCATATATTTGTTGACGGTCATTATGTTAATTTGATGTGTGAAATAGTTGATGTACTCTCCTAATTACCCTTTTTTTTCTTTAAGCTATGATGCCCCTCGTAAAGTGATCGAACCTAAATAACTGGCTTTAGGTGTTAGCCTCTTCTATTTGCATATCTGTGCACTAAATAAATTGGTTAATATGTGTTGTTGTGGATTATTTTTAGTGCCAAGGTAGTAGCTTGAATAGTCATTATTCTATCATTAATATGACTCGAGCATTTAGTGTCTTTGGAATATATGTCCCGTTATCTAGATCCATGTTGTTTGGGTTCAATTGAATTATTCTCTTTATATTGGCTTAGGGGACTGGTGTGATCTGTTTTAGACATGTTGTTGCTTTATTATTCTACGGAACTAATTTTTATCATCATTTTATCGCATGTGAAATCTGTCCGAGTTCATTATGAACTCCTATCGCCTCCCCTTTGCATTTCGGGAGAACCATGAAGGCTCAAACTCCTTTATCGAGTCAACCGACCATTGAAAATTGACGTACAGGTCCCGAAGTTGAAAAAATGTGAAAGCAGAGGAGAATTGAAAAGATTGGGCCAAAGGCCCACTCTTTATGCAAAAAAATTGTATTTTGTTATTATTGGGCCTAAGCCTATTTAGTCATTATGTTTATTATTTTATTAGAATTTATGACAGGTGAAAAATTGGGCCTAAGGCCCAAAGAAAAAAAAGAAAAAAAAAATTTCTTTATGTTAGTATAGGACAGGTGCAGGTGACTCAAATGGGCCGAAGACCCGAATGAAAATAGGCCCAAATGCTGGCCCCGGCGGACAGAAAACCAGATTTGGGCCAAATCCCTTTCCCTAGCTCTTTGTTTTATCATGTTTATTTACTTGTTAATATTTGCCATTAATCTTAAGATCAACAATTCAAATCTCCGAAAGACGTCCATTTTGCTTTAAAAAATTAACGAAATCAGTCATCTCTTAACAAGATTTAAAGAAATAATTTTGCAAGATAGCTCACTTAGATGATATTTAAACATTTCCCCTTTAAAATAGTTCTAACTATAAAATAGTTCAATTTTGCAAGTTAAGTTAAGTTAAATTATTTTAGCCAAATAATTAATTATCAGATAACTGCGTATTAGCGAGCATTTCGGGTGCTTTCAATCCCTTCCCGAAATGCTAATAAGAATCCCGAACCCCTTTTAAGTTTTCATTAGATTTTCTGTTTTAGTCTTTTGAAAACAACAGTTTTAGTAAAATTAAGTGGCGACTCTTAAATCAGTCTAATTATCATTTTTAAATAAAACACCAACCACCTCCATTAATACAACTATCATCATCATCACCATAATCATCTTCGCCAGCAAACATATATCCTATTCATTTATTTTAAATATTTAATTACTTTGTTTTATGTATTTGAATGGTATGTTTATTATATTTGAGAACAAATAAATTATGTTTATTTAGATGTTGAAAAACAAACATTATTAATTATTCATTATTTAAATCTAGAGAAATATTTTAATTATTCATATGTGCTTTAGATTCATCTTAAATCTTAATCTTAACGAAAATAAATAAGATCCACTTCAAAAATCTTTCTCATGATTTAATCAGAAAGTATTTAATAAAAATATTTTATTATATATTCAAATGCTTAATTATAATATATTAAAATTCAAATATTTAAATAATTTTTATCAAGAAATTTAAATAATTATCGATGTATTAAGCATTTTATTTATTTTGCTATATTACAAAATTTTAAAACAATGGGCACATACATGAGTGTAAAAACCCAAAGAATTTGCAAAACCCCACACCATTTTGCTTTTCCCCTCTAATTTTATTCCCTTTTTCCTTCAAGTCTTCTCTTTTACATTAAAAAAACCGTTTCCCCTTTGCAACCCTGTATGGCTTCCTCAAGCAAAGAGCCGATCTCCAATCCCCCAATCCCCGACGAAGACGATGAGGAAGAAGACGATTACGACGAAATCGATGAAGATGATGAAGAAGAAGAAGAGCGAGAGCGAAGGCCAGTAACTGAAGAATCTCGAGTGCGTTCCGATAGGGCTAAAATGGAGAATTTATTCCGGCGGCTGTCGTCTGAGAGAGTGCCTATAAGAGTCCATGATGTGATTATCCAAGGGAATACGAAGACTAAGGAATCACTTATTGAGGCCGAAATGGAAGCCCTAAAAAATGCAACAACTCTTCAGGAGTTGCTTAAGGCTGCCAGTATTGCAAATGCGAGACTTCAACAGCTTGATATTTTCGATTCCGTTAAAATTACTCTGGATTCTGGTCCACCGGAGCTGCCTGGGACTACAAATGTGGTTGTTGAGATTGTCGAGAGTGAAAATCCACTTACTGGAAGTGTTGGAGTTTTCTCCAAGCCTGAGGTAAACTATCAATTACTGTGTTCTTTAGAGTTTGATGCGTTATGTTTGATTATACGCTTAAATTAACTCAAGCTCTGCTCAGTTGATTGATGTGTGAATGAGGAAATATTGAAACTTAGACATTTAATTGCTTGCACTACTATGGATAATTCAGGAAAAGATTCTGCATTTTAGGTGACAAGTTTTTAGTAGTATTTCCAATTCAATGTTTGCGAATTCGAATTGCCAAACCAACAATTCGCAAAGGTTGTCAGTCATGGATGTATGGAGATTTGCAAAATCATCCTCACATTAGTGTCTCAATTCTATCTCTGATCTCCCTATGTTCAATCAGAACTTGTTGCTAATTGTTTTTTTTATAACAAATTAACTAGGTTCAGATTGTTACCCCTTTTCTCTCTGAGAAAACTGACTTATACATTCTCCATCTAAAAGAAAAACTGACATACATTTCGTTCTCCATTTTCTACATGCGTAAGTTTTAGTACACATTGTCCAAGGTGTTTCCCGTCTGCACTAATGACCCCCTTGGCTTCTCTCTTTGCCTTCTTATACTCTTGAAGACCTCCTAGTCTGCTGTTGGCGACTTACTATACTCTCGTTTTGCTTTAATCACTCTTTGCATCTCCTTATGTTTATGGTTGAAATCCTAGGCATTAAAAATACCTAGAACTTCATTTGCTACTTTTCTGACTACATTGGCTTCTAAGTCACATCCTCCTTCATTCATCCTTGTCATGAATTCTATTTGGTTTCTGAATAATAGCTTTTGCCACCAAATTTTTGGCTCCATGTAGCTCTTCTAACTCTTTCGCTTCACATCTACGACCCTCAGGTGACTAGGGTGTGGCCTAGTATGATTTTGTAGTCCTTATGTGTGTCTAATCCCTTGTTTTGGTGAGGATGTAGTCTGAGACTAAGTGCACCTTTATTTTCAAATACTATTGATTGTGATTCTTTTTTCTAAATAAGTGCAAGTTAAAACAAAATCATTAGTTGGAGCACCCTCTGAAATAGCCTTCTACCTTTTCATTTCTGGTATCACAACTATAGCTCCATGTGTTTGGTCAAATCCGTTATATTATGTTATAGATGTCCTCAGAGATCTCTCCTAATAATGTTCTGCTGGTCACTTTTGCATTTCTGGTACCACAACTATATCTCCTTGTGTTTGGTCAAAGCTGTTACTACATTTTTTTATATGTCCTCACAGATCCTCTTCCAATAAAGTTAACTTGGAAGAGACTAGTTTTAAATTCCCTCAAAGCCATTCTATATGACTTATTTTAACTGGTCAAGGAGTGTAAGATGTTAACTTGACTAGTTTATTTTTATAAACAACTTGATTTATATAATTTATAGTTGTGATAGTGAAAAGAAAAAAATAAGTGATAGCTGAAGAGTTAATATGATAGACAAAGCATCACATCAAAAGTTCAAGATTTAAATGTTTAGTTAACTATTTTAGGACATCTAAAATGAGAAGTATGTCAATCACAAAAAAGGAGAAAAAAAAGAGTGAGAATCTCATAAGAATTGGGGTGTATTAAAGATATTTCATTCACCTGGTATAGTGGTATTACACTGGGAAAATATCGCTAAAATATCTAGAAGAAATTGTTGTGGAAAATAGTTAAGCCATAGTTATATTAGGTGGATTTATCCATTAACAGAATGAAAGGTAGCATACTCCAAAGGGGTGAAGAAAATGCAAAGCTAGTACTGAAGTTCACCTTGCACTGGCTACATAATGCAAACACACTTGAGCGTGGTGTTAAAAGTATGATATTTGTTGTGAATGTCATCTATATAGAAGTAAAAGTTACGGCTTTAAGTTGGAAAAAGATAATACGCCTGGAGTCTTTAAGCTTGTCTTCAGCTGTGTTTAAAGATAAATTAGGAAAAGAAGAGAAGATTGGCAGTATGTCATTGGGGCTAGCTAATTGCAACGACTGTTGAGGATGTGGATACATAGTTGAGTGTGACACTATGTGCTATTTAGGGAAAAACTTCACTTCAGTTTGCATGTGTAACTAAGAACTAGCATAGACCATACTTTGTTACCCTGCTATTGGTGAACAAAATATTGGGTTCTGTCACGTGGTGCTGTAAATGTGCTTCGGATTTATAGAAGCAACATGCTTACATTATTTGCTGTTTTTTCCTTGGATTTTGATTATAACTTTAATTTGCTTCTGTAGGCTAGAGCTTGGTCACTTGAAGGTTCCTTGAAGCTGAAAAACTTGTTTGGTTATGGGGATATATGGGATGGGTCTTTGGCCTATGGCTTGGACCTGACTTCAGAGGTCAGTGCTGGTGTGTCTCTCCCCAGATTCAAAAAATTGATCACCCCTGTGACAGCTCGATTATTTCTTCTTTCCCAAGATTGGCTGAAGTTCTCCTCATATAAAGAACGAGCGTTGGGACTTTCTCTTGGCCTACTGTCATCCAGAAGGCATGATTTGTCCTACAGTCTCGCTTGGCGAACCTTGGCTGACCCATCTCAAATGTCATCAAGAGCAGTGAGGAGACAGCTTGGGCATAGCTTAATTTCGGCTCTGAAGTATACATTCAAAATTGATAGGAGAAATTCTCCTTTAAGACCAACCCGAGGATATGCCTTTCTGTCGTCTTCTCAAATTGGTGGCGTCTTACCAGATCATCGGGGGTTACGCTTTCTCCGTCAGGTTCGTACAGTTCACTTTCTTATTTTATGTCTTTCATCCCTTTTTCCCTTTTTTCCTCCCAAAAGTAGATTTTGCCGTCTCTGTGGCTGAAACCTCTTTAAGTTGTTTTTTGAACTTCTGTCAGTAGTGTGATATCCAGGTTTATATTGATGTTGAGCAGTTAGATTTAACTGCAGTTTTCCTTCTACCCGTTCTGTTTTATTGTTTTAGATGTAATCTGTAACTCACTCGTTCTGGCTATCTTGCCTGGTAACTATTCATACCATAGCCATATATTTCCCGCCAATATGACAGTCTGATTCTGAACCTATATATGCTTCTGAAATATCAAAATCACAGTATAACAGAACTTATGGATTTCTGAACAGGAGTTGGACTTCCGCTATGCTTTACCTCTGGGATTTTATAATGCTGCTTTCAACATTGGAATTTCCGCTGGTGTAACTGTTCCATGGGGAAGTGGGTTCTTAAGTCATCCCACCTATTTACCTGAGAAATTTTTCCTGGGTGGTAATTCTTCTCCAGTTTGTGCACTGGGTGGCCCATCATCTTTGTTGGGCTTTAAGACCAGGGGATTGGGCCCTGCTGAACCTAGAAGGCAAGTTACAGAAAATTCCACTGATGAGAGCTCTGATGCATCTTCTGCAATGGATTTCGTGGGAGGAGACCTTGCGGTTACTGCTTTTGCAGACCTTTCTTTTGATCTACCACTGCGGGTATTGAGAGAAGCTGGGATTCATGGCCATGCTTTTGCTTGTACCGGAAGCCTGAATAAATTGACGGAAAATGCGTATAAAGATCTATCTTTACAGAAATTCAAAGAATCATTCCGAGCGTCGGCCGGATTTGGTGTCATTGTACCGACCAAGCTCTTCCGAATGGAGGTAAGTAATCCATGTTAATATCTGCTTGTGGATTTTTCTTCTTCGCTATAAAAGTTGTTCTCAGATGCAAAAATTTCTTCTTCGCCATATATGTTTCTGAACTTTCTTCTAATTTTTCTACCCATGCAATAAAAGTTCCTTTCCTTGTAATGCACCTATATGCTTTTTATTTGTTCATTTGTGCCTTTCTCCACTGAAGCATGGCTGGCGGTCTCTATGCTTTTTTCCTTTGGCTCAATGATTTTCTAATCAGACGTTCAGAAACATACATGTAGTTTGATAAATGTCGAAATTACATGATGATAGTGGACGCAACTTTTTTTTTTTTTGAAAAATGCATATGAGTTTCCTGGGCATTTCTGACTATTTGATTCCATCACCAGGTTAATTACTGCTATATACTGAAGCAGCAAGAGCATGACCGAGGGAAGACTGGTGTGCAGTTCAGCTTCTCCTCATCTTTCTAGAAGCTCAACATTGCATGTTCTGTTCCCAGTGAATTGATACGGCATGATTTCCTTCCCCCGTTTCTCTGTTTTGTATGAGATGCAAATTTAGGCGGCCCCAACAAGTGCACTTCAGTTTCAAACTCTGGACAATTTTTCAATCCACTGTTACAGGCAAATAATTGGTGGCAAGTATTAGCATACATTCAATACGTTGATTTTCAATCCGCTGCCCCAAAATTCCCCGTTTGTTATTGGTGATTCATTTCTTATTCTGGGAGTTCACCTTTGAAATTGATGTTTTTGATGTGCTATACCCTTGTATCAAGAGGCTCACTCAATACAGAGGACCATTAAAATTTCTTTAACGGGCGACCTTTACGAGTTATGATTCGCTTGTAGGAGTCCTTAAAGAGACCTTTTGGAAATGATGGTTATCTACTTTAACCCCTTTGAATTTAAGTGTGTTTGTATGAAGGAAAATGGTTTCTCGAGAAGCAAGTAAGTTTTTTACTTAAAAATAAGTGTTAGATAATTATGTAAGAAAATAATCAAATAGTATATGTAATCTAGCAAAATCTTACGGGAGTGGAGAGTGGCAGGTGGGTAGGGAGGAGTTAAAAGAACTTGGAATGTCATGAAACTTGTTTGTTTTCTACTTTTATGGGGAAGTTATATTCCTCATTTTTATTCTTTTAATTGGAAATAAAAAAACATTTTTTACTCTTTTAGTAGGAAAATCAGTGTTTGCAATAGTACCTCTATGAACTACTATAAGATGACACATCTTTAATGTTATTACTGTGGACATACAATTTTTCAGTTTCGACGTTGAATTGTAAACTTATTTGTTCGACGTTGAATTGTAAAATTATGCCAAACTTTCTATTCAACCAATTAAATAGTCTAGAAACATTCATTTTCAATGATGAGAGTACCATAGACTAGTTCTCTTGTTGTATGCAACAAGAAAGTAATATCTATTTCTTTTTTCCCTTTTTCAATTTGACCATTTCTCTCGGTTCAACTCTTTTCTTTCACGATAAGAAATAAAATTAATTAACTCTCAAATAATCGCACAAGGTTGAAATCAAGTCTACTAACGTGTTCCATAGTTAGAAAGTTGTGATGCTTTGTTAGAGACGGATTCAGGATTTTAAATTTACGAGTTTTAAATAGCTCTTTGAAGTTATTGAGTCTTGGATTATAATTCTTAAATACAATAACAATACCAACTACATATATCTTTAATTTTAAAAAAATCTCTAGGTCCCGTTTGGCTCCAAGAATACTTGAGAAAAAATTTGGTGGAAAACTTGAAAAGTGGTGTTTGGTCATAGAACTTGGCAAATATATTTGCCAAGTATCCCAAGTTCTCAAATACTAGAAAAAATTAGTATTTGGGCCAAGTTCTAATATTTTAGAATTTTACAAAATTCAAAAATTACTCCAAACTTTTATATTTTATAAAAATACCCATTATTTATTAAGTCCAATTAATATTTGTTACTACTTTTTCCGGAAAAGTTAAGTTTGAGTTCTAATTTGAACGATAAAATTGAAAAAAAAGAACAATTCGTTTTAATGGGTTATAATTATAACTGAATCAATGACAAGTTTGAATATGCGATTAATGTATTGCTCTTGTATATATTGTTATTTTTTTGTTGTTGATTGCTATCAATTATGTTGTAAGGTTATTTTTTAACTGAACATATTCACTATAAATAGATACTACAAATTTATGGATATTTTTAATGGTTTTAGAACTTATGGGTATAAATCATATTTTTTAAAATATTCAAATATTCTTGGAAAAACTTGGGGCCAAACACATGGTGTAATTTCACCAAAAATTTGGCCCAAATATTATTTGCCAAGAATATTTGTTGGGAACTTGGAGCCAAACGCTAGATTAATGTTTTTTTTTAAAAAACAACTACATATCCAGTTTAATTCTATAAGTAGAGTCTATCTAAGGTTGTATGTATTTGACTCACCTCTATATTTGGGAGACAAAGATAATATTTTCGATAAATCTCGATTTAAAGTAAAACAATTCAAAGCAGCTCGAAAAATGAAATGATAGAGTAAAGAAGCCATGACAAATATAATACTACTAGGATAAACATCATAATACATTTTGAAAAAAATCTATTAATTATAACAAAATAGTACAATAACCAAAATACACAAAACAATACAGAAAACTTCCTTACATAACCAACAGGGTGGCTTAAATGATACATCCTCTGAGCTCAACTTTACGAGTACAAGTAAAATGGAGTAATACTTTTCGCTGGCGGCTTTAACTTGCGTGCTGAACCTGAAATATATTCACCGCAAGACAAATCAAATACTCCATTTTTTTATTTGTTGTTCTGATCTGAAACCATTTTTTTTTAATTGATGAATAAATTAAACACCCATTTTCTAACGTGTTAAATTTCATTTTTAGTTCATGATACTTTGTACTTATTATATATAATATAATTAACCAGAATTTTCTTCATTTGATAAGTCAATCTTTGACTCATCAAGGGATCTATAAATAAGTTCCCTTGTACATTGCAAAGGATATCATAAATAAACTAGTTCAACAATATTCTCATAATACGTACACACATTTCATTATTCATTTAGAATAAAGTTTTCTTACCTTCTTTTGATTATTAATTAAATCATTACAAATGGAGAGAAAAACATCTCAAATCCAACCTCCAACTTATGGAGATTTCATTACTATTCTTAGTATTGATGGAGGTGGCATTCGAGGAATTATTCCAGCTACCATCCTCAGTTTTCTTGAATTGCAACTTCAGGTAAATTATATATACATATAATGATCGCGATCCGTCAGTTAATAATAGAAATATTTCTTTGGAAATTAAAGGCCTCACAACCTAGTGTTGTCTATGTAACAATTAATATGCTACTACTTGTTTACTAAGTTTATCATAGCTTATTAATACATGCATTCACGCACGCGCTCTTTTTATGACTTTTAACTTTTGCATGCATGTCAAATAAAATTTGTAGGAGTTGGATGGAAAAGATGCAACACTTGCAGATTACTTTGATGTTATTGCTGGAACGAGCACCGGTGGCCTTGTTACGGCCATGCTAACATCTCCAGATGAAAATCATCGTCCACTTTATGCTGCTAAAGATATTACACCGTTCTATTTAGAGCATTGTCCAAAAATATTTCCACAAAAGAAATGGTACATACATATTTTAACAATTTTGATTGCTCTATATATACCGTCTTTTAATTTCATTTGTACTATATAACTAACCAAATTTTAATTTTTTTTGGTTGAATTTTTTATAAATATGTAGTGGTTTGTTTGCTCCAATTGGAAAGATGGTGCAAGCTCTAATAGGACCAAAATATGATGGCAAATACCTACATAAAGTCGTAAAGGAAAAATTGAAAGATACTTGCATTAGTAATACTATTACTAATGTTGTTATTCCAACTTTTGATATCAAAAAGTTGCAACCAACCATTTTCTCCACTTATGAGGTATATATTTCCCATTTTAAACGTACATTCTACCATTTTCAGAATCCAATTGTGAAATTATATATATACTGAATATATTATTGTTGATGCAGACAAAACGATCAACATGTTGTGATGCAAAATTGTCTGATATTTGTATAAGTACATCGGCAGCTCCAACTTATCTTCCAGCTCATTATTTCAAAGTTGAAGATGGCAAAGGCAATGTTAAAGAACATAATCTCATTGATGGTGGCGTTGCTGCTAATAATCCGGTATGTACGTACTAAAACACTTTATTAATATTAATAATTTAACTTATATGTACTGACGATTTTTTTTTTCTCTAGGGTTTGATTGCAATATCGGAAGTAAGCAAAGAGATTTTCAAGAACAATCCAGACTTCTTCCCAATAAAGCCAATGGATTATGGTCGTTTCCTTGTAATATCATTAGGGACAGGAGCTGCAAAATGTGAACAAAAATATAATTCATTGATGGGAGCCAAATGGGGGATTGTAGATTGGTTATTTCACAAAGGATCTACACCATTAGTAGAAGTATTCACTCAATCAAGTGCTGATATGGTTGATTACCATAATTCTGTTGTTTTTCAAGCTCTTCGTAGTGAAAATAGTTACCTTCGAATTCAAGTAAGTATTAAAATAGGACGTACGTCTTGATGAACGTGTTATATGTCACATATATATGTATATATATATACTCGGAAGACCTTAATAATACGAGTAGGATAGATGAAAGAATTTTGATTTGTATAATGCTTGATTAATAATTTTTTTTTTTTTGGTTGTTGAACCTAATTAACAGGAGGATGAACTAATTGGAACAGAAGCCTCAGTAGATGTGGCTACAAAGAAAAATTTGGAGAGGTTAGTGGAAATTGGAGAAAAATTATTGAAAAAACCACTTTCAAGGGTAAATTTGGAAACAGGTTTGACAGAACCAATTCCTAAAGGAGGCACTAATGAGGAAGCCCTTAAGAGGTATCTCATCATAATTTTAATTTGATACTATCTCCGTCACAAATTATTTATCGTATTTGAGAGATAATTACTTTACGATTATTTCTATCTTAATATACAATCTCTCATCATTAAATATTTATTCTATTAATGTGATTGTAGTCTTTCGTAACATTTATTATGTAGATAATATTATATTAAAATTTTAAAATAATAAATAATTTGAGATAACTATTTTTAAAAATCATAACAGATAATTTGATGAGGATTATTACTTTGACTCTTTGAGAAAAGAGTAGGAAGTATGCCAAACATTTTAAAACAAAATTACGTTGTCACTTATTTGACAACAAAAAGGTGTTTGAAAAGTGCTGCCTTGTTCTTTTATGAGTAACATGTTTATATTAATATAATTGATCTAAAATATTATTTTTTATCATTAATGCATCTTAGCTAGTCTTTACTATTATATTGTCTAAATTGTTAGAATATACATTGTTATGTCATAAGTTAACTCATGAAAATCTTTAATTTTGTGATAGGTTTGCAACATTATTGGTAAATGAAAGAAGACTTCGTGAATCAAGATCACCACTTATCAAGAAAGCCTCTAAATAATATAGTCGTAAAAAAAATCGTACATACTATAAGAATTGAGTTGTTTAAGTAATATATATTGTCAGTATATATAAATTTCCTAGCTAGCTATGTTCTCAATGAAATTTCCAATTTTTGAGGGAATATTAGGTATATTTGTTGAAATTTGATTTACTTACTTGTTATACTAGTGTAAAAGTGTATTCATTCAATATCATTCCATATAATATAATATTTATGTAAATTATCAGTTCTTTGATGATATCTAGGTGATTAGTACAAAACTAATATGTCTTAATCAACTCAAATGCGCTTATTTGACAAATCTAATAAAAAGATC